ATCCTTATTTACTGCTACTAGGAATGTACATTAGTCCAGTCACTATGGGAATTAACACGAAGGTGTCTGAAAACTAAAAGTAGAATCACCATACGGTCCAGCTATTTCATTCCCAGTATACTTGAAGGCCTCTGAGCCACAGAGATATTTGCACATCTCTGTTTACTGCAGCACTATTCACAGTGGCCAAGTCAGGAAATCAGTCTAGGTATCTGTTAACAGAAAAACGAATAAAGAAAATGTGGTACAGGGACTGGAGAGATGGCTCAGTGCTTAAGAACACTAGCTGCTCTTTTAGAGGACCCAGATTCAGTTCCCAGCACCCACATGGCAGCTAACAACCAACTGTAACTCCAGTTCTAGAGGATCTGACACCCTCTTCTGATCTCCATGAGCACTGCACACATAGGTGCACTTACATATACATATCAAAATAGTTGCCTTGGTTGTTTTTTTTTTTTTTCCAGAGCTGAGGACCGAACCCAGGGCCTTGCGCTTGCTAGGCAAGTGCTCTACCACTGAGCTAAATCCCCAACCCTAAAAATTAAAAAGAAAGAAGGAAATAAAATGTGGGACGCATTCACAATGGGATTTGGTTTAGCCATGAAGAAAAATAAAATGGTGATTCTTATGAGAACATGGATGAAAACAGAGACCATCCTATTAAGCAAAACAAGAAAGACAAATATTGTTTTCTGTCACCTGTGTATCCTAGATTTTATATAAATGCATGAAGTCATGTATGTGTACATAGGGCAAGGGGTGGAGGCGAGACTCTGGGAAAATGAATTGGGAGTAGCGGGAGCAGGAGGAGGAGAAGAAAAAGGGGAAGGAGTGAATATGGTCCAAGGGTAAGACAGACGTGCATTAAAACGTCTTTCTGAAACCTATCACTATGAACAGTGAATGTCTGGACATAAAAAACCATATTTAATATGAAAGAGGGATGGCGATGTGGCTCAGTGGAGGAGCACTAGTCTAGCACACCTAAGGCCCTGTGTTTGAGCCCCAGCACCAATAAATAATTAACAATTAAACAATTAATTAACTTAAAAAGAAAAGATTTCCTGATTAGGTGGGAAAAAAACAGTGACTGCTACATATAGAACACTCTCATTGTGAGAGAGGGAAATCACGTGCACATGCATGTGTACATGGAAGCAGGTATGTGCATGTTTGTATACCTGTATATGCATGGCCTAAAGTCTATTTAGCTGAAACTGACTTTGCGGGAAAAACACTGAATATCCCTGTCTGTAAGGCCCACTTCTTCTCTTTGGAGGAAGACACAGGAATTTGACTGACTCTTTACCTTTTAAAAAAAACTTTTTTGGCTGGGTGTGGTGGCACATACCTTTAGTCCCAGCACTCGGGGGGCAGAGGCAGGATCTCTGTGAGTACGAGGCCAGCCTGGTCTACATAGCAAGTTCCAGGATGGCTGAGGCTCTGTACAGTGGTTAAGTGCACTGGCTGCTCTTGTGGAGGGCCTGGGTTTGTTTCCCAGCACCCGCATGGCGGCTAACTCCAGTTCCAGTTCTGACCTTAATAGGCATTGTATGACATAGGTTCATTTACAGACATGCAGGCAATATACTCATACACAATAAATAGATAGATAAATAAATAAATAAATAAATAGATAAATAAAAGCAAAAACCTTTTTCAATATATGACTGTATTAACTATTTGATTAAATTAAAAATTTTTGGAGACAGAGTCTCACTATATAGTTCAGGCTGACTTCTACCTCATAATCCTCCTGCCTCTGCCTCCTAAATGCTGGGATTATAGATATGTGTCACCACACCCAGCTTTTTAAATGCTATCACAGGATTTATTTTTGCCTTAACACATTCCATATTATTTAGTCTAACAGGTGATACTCTATTTTTTAAATGTCTGAGTTCACTAAAAGCTGGAAGTGCCAGAGGGGCTCCGCCTACCCGTGCAGGGTGGCCTCAGTGCTCTGTAGCTCTCCCTTACCAATGGCAGTGGCATGCCAGCCAGAGGATGGAGAAGACCTCTGTGGAGAAGAGTCTCCTTGGGGGGACTTGGCCTGACATGGAGTTGAAGCCCTGTCAGTCATGCTTGAACAGGAAGAACGAGTGATCTCGGGTTTCCCCTGGCCTCTCATTCCTGCCCCTAGAAACTGGCAGCTTTTGTGCCCTAGTCAGCCAGGGTGAGAAGACAGTGGAGATGAAATGTGTGCTGTCAGATGTGTCCACAGAACCAAGCTCCCATCCCCATCTCTGAAATCCACAGAATTCAGGAACACTCTGGGTTCCCCAAAAGAGAAGAATGGGGCTGACACTAACTCCACCAGCTCTTAATGAGCCAGAAACCAGAAACAGCATGTGGATTACACAGTCATGCTCAGTTTTTTCCCAAGTCCCACAGGTATTCAGTGCCACTTGCTCCCACTTGAGCACAGGATGCTCAGGGAGTCTACAGGCCTGTGGCCTGGGTCTCTACACCAACAGCCAGCAGTGTGATCAACTTCCTGTTTTCTTCCAAGCCATGTTTTCCTTGCAGAATTAGTACCAGTAAATAGACTTTAGGCTATCAGCCCCATTCACAAACAGATTTGGTGAAGGAAGAGCAGTTTAAGTACTGAGAACTCCCACCAAAAGTTTTGATTGTGTCATGTGCTATCAAACCCAGAACCTTGTATATGCTAAGCAAGCTCTCTACCACCAATTCATACCCCCACCCTAAAAGTTCTTGAGTGTCTGCACTTCCTTGGCACAATTCTCTGCTGTGGTAGAAGAGAGGTGCTTGGATTGTGATAACAAAGTACCATCAAGCTCTGGTAGAAACAGCAGAACTCTGTTCTCTGCTGGCTGGGAGCTGGACATCTACAGCCCAGCTATGGGCAGGACCAGGCTCCTGGATTCCTCTCATTTGGACAGTTGGGATTCTTGGCTTTCTCTGCTTGTGGCTCATCTTCTCCACTGTGTCTGAGTTTTTTTTTTGTTTGTTTGTTTGTTTGTTTTGGTGACAGGGCCTCACCCTGTAGCCCTGGCAGGTCTGAAACTTGCTACATAGAACAGGCTGGCCTTGAACTCACAGAGATCTGCCTGCCTCTGTGGAGATGAAAGTCGACGTGTGCCACCATTTGTGGCTCACTATGTCTGTTTTGACATGCTGATCTCCTCTCTCACAGGCAGATGTCATATTAAGCCCATTCTGTAAGTCCAGCTGAGCTGGCTCTGTCTTCAGCCATCCAAAAAAGGTCACACTCAGAGGTAGGGGAGGTCAGGACTTCATGTCTTCCTGAGGGGGCCCAACACACAGCATCACAGATGGAAGAAGACATTCTAGGAAGTTTTGCTGGGTTCTCCTCAGAAAGGGGTTGGTATGCTGGGGTCCAGGGACACTGACCAGGCCCTGCTGGTCCAGGAGTAAGGCTTAGGAGACTATCTCCCTGTCTCCCATCCAAGTACTAACTAAGCCTCATTCTGCTTAGCTTCTGAGAGCAAGTGGTTCTGGTGAATTCAGGGGGACAGGGCCTTAGGCCAAGGAGACTGCGGCGTTCTCTCAGCTTCTGCTGTCTGACCCCATCAGGATTCAAGGCTCCTCACACTTGTAGCCAAGCAATGCATCTACCTCATCCTATTCAGTCCATGAAACAAATTCTGAAATATCCATTATGCCTGTGTTACAGATGGGAAACCAAGCTTCCAAGAGATACAGTGGTTAGCTCATGGTCGTCCAGCGAGTGTAAGGTGTTGACAACTCCAGTGGATCCCCCTCCCTGGACAGGTGGGTGCTGGGATCCAGCCTGGTGCTGGCTCCAGAGATGGGGAAAGCCGCTGGTCTAAAGAAAGCACACAGTGCAGGGCACACTTTTGTGCACCTCAAGTCATCAGCACCACTCCCATTTTAGTAAGAGATCAGGCCTGCTGCTTTATTTTTTGAGGTGCTAAGGACTGAACACAGGGCCTCACACGAGCTAGGCAAGTCGTCTACCATGGAGCTACACCCCAGAGGGAGCCTGGTATTCTTCCAGTTTCTTTTATGGAGGGAAGGAAAGTGACTCAGGAGGATGAAGCTCTAGGTGAGGTGCACTCCACCCTACACACACACTTTCTCAATTATGGAAATGAATTTTCAAAATGCTTTTTATATATGAAAGACCCCCAACCTTTTCAAAAGAACCCCAACAATATATATAAACAATACTGAAGACAGGGCCTCTCCAGAGCCCTCCCAAATGGCAACCCCAGCCAACTCCAGGTGCTGGCTTAGTTTAGGAAACACATTCGGCAACGTGGAAGGCAAGGAACAAAGCGACAGGCAGGCCTACCAAGCCCTGCTAGTAGTGAGTTCAAATGGTCGTTAAATTAGAAATAGAGGTGATTAACACTAAGGAATTTAAAAATCATGGAATCCTGTGTTTGTCTTTTGGTACGCTCTGAAATATCTCTGTTGAGATGGCTATGATATCTTTTTGTTTCAAAACAGGTTGATACAGAGAACCGACTGACCTGAGGTTGGAGACTGCGGAAGCTGAGTTGTGGGAACAGAGGCTTCCTACCAAAACAGCAAGTCACTAAGTCCAACCTGACTCCTTCTACTACTGTATAGTGAAAAGTTATTTTAGGCTGAAAATTCGGAATTGTGATTAACGAAACGGGTGTTATCTGTTATTCTTAATGAAGTAATGAAAGGTTGGAAATATAAAAAGCAAGAGAGGGTAACTGCATGGGGTCACCTGATGTAGTGCCAGAAGAAGGATGCACAGACTTAGATCATGTTCCCAAAACTGAGTGATCCCCCCTCGATTGCTATCGTCTGTGGCCCCCAATTCATTCTCCAAACGGCAGAGTAGCTGACTGCATTCCGCTGAGCCGCCTGTCTCCATTTGTCCAGCGGTCCAGCTGTCCATCCACCCGTCACTCATAACTCGCTAAGAGGGCCTCTGGCACCCGCTCCTCTCCTTTCCCCTCAGAATCCGAACCCAGAGCCTCCTGCCCTGCCCCGCCCCTCCCAGCACTCACCTTCTGCGCTCCTGCTCCGGCTCAGCTCTGCGCGAAACTGAAAGTGGCAGCCAAGTGCTGCTGGGCTAGTTCAAGGAACCCGCGGCTGCTGCCGAGAAATCACGTGGATTAGAGTTGCCAGCCCGTGGGGAGGGCCTTCGGAACCGGCGATCTAACGCCAGCAGGGAAGCGTCCCAGGACACGCCTCCGCCTGCCTCCGGGACTGGGTTAGGAGGACAGGCCCGGGGCCCAGAGCCAGACTGCAGTCTCAGGAGACTAGGGAGGAAGCGGAGCCACTGCGGGGGACCGGAGGTGTTAGTTCGCAGGGTCCTGACTCCTACGCTGGGGAGGAGAGCCTCCAGAGGAAGATGGCAATCGGCTCTCTCACCTGAGACTTCCTGGGCCCACCCAGCATCTGCTGTGTACCTCCAGGAACCCCCAAGACACAAGTGCAAGGGTCGCCTCGTCTACAAAAGAGTGCTAGAACTCTGTGTTAAGGTTCAGGTAGCCCCGCCTCTCAACAACAGGATCCCAAGGACTTCTGCTCCCAAGAAAAGGGAACCTAGCTGATAAGCACCTTGGTCGTTGAAGTCAAGAGAAGCAGACTTTTCTCCACTGTTCGGCCAACACAGCAGGCTTCCCCTTTGCTCTCTAAAGAGGACAGATTTTAACAGTCCCACTCTCCTACTTCCCCCCCCCCAACTTTAAAAAAAATACATCTTCCCGCCTACTGCAGGAAGCAGAAGCCACCCTTTTTAAAAGACCCCAGCTCAAGACCTGGGCATTTTCCCTGCCAGGAAGGGAATCTGCCCCATGTGTTCCTTTACTAATAAACCCTATTTTGATGGAGTTTTATCTTTGTCCTGGTGCCTCCTCCTCCATTCTCCGCCAACTTTTTACCTAACACTCTGAGCTGTGTGAGAGGAGGGAGAGATGTCACCCAAGGATGAGGGAGGGTGAGGTGAAGGGGACAGAGAGGGTGGGACCGACCAGAAGGAAGAGAACAGCAGGGCCAGGGCCAGTCCTGGAAGTTCACTGGTTCCATCTCTATTAGAAGTTCTACATCCTCCTCCACCTTTTGCCCTTACTCTGAGACAGGTGGCCAGGTTTACCCTGTGGATGGTTCTGACATCCAGGAAGGTAGTTCCCTGCTTTCCAAGGACACCCCAGAGAAGCAACTCTGACTCCCAAACTGCTCTAGGGAGTGGTAGGGAGACCAGTACAAGAGACGGGGACTCAGAAGGCAGAGTGCATACCAGTGACTCCCAGACACACAGTCCTTCTCTCTAACATCACACTAGCCAAATGCCTTGACTCCCTAGGCAGTGACTGTAACATCTGTCAGGCAGAACCCTCCATACAGCAATCATTAGAATTGAAGACTTAAAGTTAGGGCAGATGCAGACCGTATCTGAAACTCATAAACGGCTCTTCTATCTGTCATCTTCTTCTGGTTTCACACTCCTGTGACACTCTAACTTCCTCCCTCACAGGACCAAGCTAGATCTATAGAAAGTACATGACACCTGGGAAGGGGTGGCATTGGTTTTTCGGTCCATTGCTTGTATGCAACTCCCAACTGGCCCGTTCCTGGTTATGTTACCTCTGACAAATGCCTTGGTCTCAGGAGCTAGAGAGATGGCTCAGCAGTTAAGAGCACTGGTTGCTCTTGCAGAAGACCAGGGTCAGTTCCCAGCACCCACATGGTGGCTAGTTCAGGGGATCCAAGGCCCTCTTCTAGTCTCTGTGGGCATTGCATTCATATGGTACACTTACATACATGTAGATAAAAATACTCATACATATAAAAATAATTAATTTAAAAGACTGCCTTGGTCTCAGCCAGCCTCAGTTTTCTCATCTGTCAAATGGTGGAGTCTTACCTCCTAGGCCCCCTGTGACACATGGTGGGCTGTTAGCTTCCACATTTGTAAGGTATTACATTTTAACAGTAGGGCTCAGCTCATGTTCCCAAGCCCCTTTATATGACTGGCCCTACACAAATTCCCCAAAAGACCCTGGTTTACTCCCTGTGCAGGCAGAATGGGTGGATCAACTTGGACAAACAGCCACCATCCAAATAGGCAAGCACAGGCCAATATTAGACGCATTTAACTTGCACAGCCCCATGAGGTGGGGCAGGACCATCTCATTAGGCACAAGAAGAAATGATATCCAGAGAGAAGAAGTGAGGCCTCGAAGTCACACAGCAGTCAGAAGAGCTGGGTCTTGAACCCAGTATCCTTTCAACTGTAGTGGAACCAGACCTGCCCAAAAGGGTTCTAGGAGAGCTATTTCCCCAGGCTCTCCCTGTGCTCAGTTTGTGTTGTAAAGCACCAGCCAAAATGCAGCAATCTTTGTGAGATCAGCTATGCCTACTTGCAAGAGTTCATCAAAATCGGGCCTATTGACATCCCCAGCAATTCTCCCCAGCCATCTGCACTCAATTCTGCCTCAATTGACATAGCCCTGGGGTCTAGGGGAGGGGCTAGAGTATATAGTCTGTAGAGGTGTGGTGGGGGAGCTTCGCTTATGCATCTATAGGGACACCATCATCCATGCTGGGTGAGGACTTTCCAGTGTGACTGCTTTGAGGTATCATGCTCCAGACAGTAACCCCTCACCTGTGCTCTGTAAGTAAACCCAATAAACTCATTGGTTCCCCAGAGTGCACTGTGGTGGAAGAGAACTTTGGTTTGTTGTTGGGACCTTAGTAAGAGGGGCACTGTTCACATCTGCCCCAATCATCACCCTGGGCAGACCCAGGACCAGACAGTGTGGTTTATTAGGGACTTAGGGACAAAAGCATTCGTTAGGTGACAGTCAGACAAGAGAATTTCCATACCCCAAGGAGGGAAGAGGGTATTTATAGGCCAAGCTATGGGATGGTGGGCAAACCGTGTCTGGCCTTTGTCAGGGACTGTGAACATGTTTAAATGTATTCCCACAGATGGTGATCGGCTGCCTGTGGTAATGACTTTACTTGTCCTATAGAGGTTAGGATGCCTTGGTCCCCTGGTAAGCAAAATGGTCCCCACCTATTTGCCTGGGGCCTGGTCCTGACCCCCCTAGAGATTCATCATGCCCAGGTAGTAAGATATCCTTCCTTGTAGCCCTCGACTTAGGAAGCTTCTGGAAAGAGCAGATGGCATAGCCTTCAGGTGACAGATTCTAGCCAGGTCTGCCAACATCCTGCCCAGGCCAGGAGGCTTTCCTGGTCTTTTGATGTGAGCCCAAGACAGACAGAGCTTCTAGGCTGGGAGGGAGGGAGCAGGTTTGGTGAGACGGTCCAGCTGTTGTGGTCCTGTTCTGACAAGTCTCTGTCCTTTGGGACACCATAGATCCTGCCATAGGCTCTCTGGGAACCTTTTGGTGACATGCAAGTACCTTTCATTTCAGACCTGGGGACCTTCTGTCCAGGAAGAATGCTGGGGGCTACATCTGCCTTCCATTCTGGTACAAGAATGGGTACCATGGTGGGGTTCTCGAGGGTGACACTAAATGCTTTTTCAATGTTCCCTTAGTGATAATGTGAGTTTCAGGGCCGGAAGGGGGCTGCCAGGGTGTCCCAGCTCACCTACTTTTGTTCTGTGGCATTAAAGGAGGGCCTTGGGCTTTCTCCGGTCCCCTAAAGGAACAGGGAGCAGTTTTGATCCATTGTGGCTTCTAACTAGAATCACCACCCTGGAGAACAATACTGTAAGGTCTGGAATTGTCTCACTGGACATATGGGGCTAGTGAGCTCTTTTTAAAAAAGATTTATTTTTATTTTATTTTATGAGTGTTTTGTGTATATGTATATGTATATATATATATATATGTATATGTATATGTGTATGTATGTACCACATGCATGCATGCCTGATGCCCATAGACACCAGACGAGAGTGTTGGATACCCCAGAATTGGAGTTACGGATGATTGTTAGCTGCTATGAGGGCACTGGGAACTGAACCTGGGTCCTCTGCAAGAGCAGCAGTGCTTTTAATCACTAAGTTATTTTTCCAGGCCCCGTTGAACTCTTTTTGCAAAGGGCCTTTTAAGAGCCATCTGCAAGCTCCTGGTTGCTTCTTGGTTGCTCTGGACTCCAAGGACAAAAGAGAATTGGAACTAAGAGAGCCCAGGGAACTAAGAGGGAAGGGAGGCATTAAAAGAAATTTTCCTGAAGGGATAGTGTTCTCTCAGATTTTAAACCTGAAGGCCTAGGTGACCCTTAGCTCTTGCCTCCTGGCTGTTATAATAAAGGCCACCTTCTATGGGGCTGGAGAGACGGCTCAGTGTTTAAGAGCACTGGCTGTTCTCGCAGAGGACTCAGGTTCGATTCCCAGCACCCATAAGGCAGCTAACCGCCTTCTGTAACTCCAGTTCCAGAAGAATTTGATGCCCTCTTCTGACCTCCGCAGGCATTGCACAACATGGGTACACTAACATACATGCAGGCAATATACTCATACACATAAAATACAAAATAATAAAATATTTTTAAAATAAAAAAGTAAAGGCCACTTTCATTTTGTAGCCCCTACCTGCTGTCTGGCTTCACCTTGCAGCCTTTCTTTACTGTGCTATGCTACACAGGCCTCCTTGATCTTTTCTCAATCTGCCATGATTCCCTCTACCCCAGGGACTTTGTATGGCCCAATATCTTGCTATTTGACTTAGTCTATTTCCTATTGCTATATCAAGTACACAAGACTAGGTAATGTATAAAAGGTTTGGGGACTTTGGTGGGGGTGCTCAGTCAGTAAAGCACTTGCTTTGTAAGCACAAGGCCAGCAAGTCTAGCCCAAATAGTGAGCCTCAGGCTAATGAGAGACCCTCTCTCAAAGGAGATGACAGAGTTCCTGAGGATGATACTTGTTATCCTCTGGCCTCCACATTCAGATATATACACATGCACCTGCATACACACTTTAACAAAATAAAGCTAGCTTTTCTTGGCTTCCAGTAAACTTCATGACCTCTTCTAGAGGCTGGAAAATGCAAGAGTGTGGCACCAGAGAGGGCATCACGCTGCTTCAGTGTGGGAGAGGGCATGGGTAGAGGGGGCACGAGTAGAGGCTTGGCTTTATAATAGCTCTGGAACTCACTAATCCAGTCCCTGGAGAAAGGCATCAATCCTCTTGATAGCCAGTTGCCTCTCAAAGGCTCCGCTTCTAAATACCGCTACAACCTGTGTCTCAAGGGGTATGCTGGAACCTGGGGTGGGACTAGGCAAACAGGCTGGATAACGAGGAGACTGGAAATCTAGTCCACTCAGGAGTTTCTCTTCAGCAATCCAAGTCCAGTTGATTTGCTGTTAAGAGTCTCCCTTCTGTGAGAAACCAGACCTCTACAAGGCCCTTATGCTCCCTGCCCACCTGGATTCCTCCTCACTTCCTGTACAATGTGAGAACCACACAAGGATAGGGGAGAAGTCAGATCCTTGCTTTGAGCTCAAGTGGGAAGGTGGTCAGAGGAAGAGACAGGAGCTTTACTTGTGGGTGAGCAAAGAGCTGTATGCTTCAGGAGAGGGAGAGGCAGGGACTGGAGATGCTCTTCCCTGAGGAGGGCGTGGCTTCGGAGTGTTCCCTGGCAGTTGGGGCCAACCTCTAGGACATGGTGGAACTCAGAACAATGCAAATGATCAAGATCGGGCCAGACATGGTGGCACATGCCTTTAATCTCAGCACTCGGAAGGCCGAGGCAGGAGGATCTCTGTGAGTTCAAGGCCAGCCTGGTCTACATAGTGAGTTCCAGGACAGCTGGGGCTACTGGGAGACCCTGTCTCAAAAAGACCAAAAAAAAAAAAATTCTTGAGCTGGGGGTGGTGGCACATGCTTTAGTCCCAGCACTCAGGAAGCAGAGGCGGGGGGGGGGCTTTGAGTTCAAGGCCAGCCTGGTCTACATAGTGAGTTCCAGGACAGCTGGGGCTACCGGGGGACCCTGTCTCAAAAAGACCAAAAAAAAAAAAAAAAAAAGAAAAAAAATGATCAAGATCATTGGGTCAGTGAATGAGATGATTACTGTGAGCCATTGTTGGGTGAGGGAGGGAATGGGTGGGTGTTTCTAGACCAGACCTGCTGCCCCTTTTGGCTCTAGTACTTTTTCTCATGTGGCTATTTGGTATATTCCTGCTTATCCTTTAACTTGTGATTTAAATGTCCCCTTTTCCACTGGCCATTAGAAGATACAGGGGTGTGTTCAGATGTAGGCCCCACCCTGGTTGTGATCTTCCTGATGTGGAAACCTGCTGTCCATCAAGGTGACCCAGAACCAGGTGTTGAGCACTTCACCCAGGTTTAGCCAGTTGGGACTTTGGTCCCTGTGGGGAGGATGGACACCAGCTGGAACGGAGCAATCCTTCTGTGGCACCTGATGACATCTCTGATGGGGCATTTCTGTTGCTTGGGGAGGGTACCCGAGGATGCAAGCCCAGCCCTGTGGTCTGCTCACCAAATCTCTGAGCTACTCATGACCCATAGCATGTTCCCTTTTCTACTCTACACCAGGGTTGAAGTCTGTGCTTTGCTCTTGAGGACCTGATGGACACATCTGTGCCTTTGCACAACTTGTTGTCACTCAGAGCCTCTGGCCTAGATTAAGGACCCTGGGTGGTACACATGCACTGTGTATACTAGGAAAGAATTTCTAAGGAGTGGGCATGATGTCCACAGATTCTCTGCAAGACTGGCTTTGATCTCTATCTGAGAGTGCAGGAGTTCCTGAGGACTGAAAGTAGAGCACCTGCCAGAGGGGTCTTGTCTGGACTGTCCAGCAAAGCACTGATGTGACAGGGACAGAAGGGTCTGGCTGAGAGCCATGAACTACAGGTGGATTTGAAAGGCACAAAGGGGCCCGAAAGGTGAAAACCTTAAATCCCAAGGTGAGAAATTTGGGATTTTCTTTCCAGGCCCTAGGGAGCTATGGAACATTTGGGAGCACTGGGTGTGAGAGGGCTGAGTAGAGGAAAGACATCCAGGGCTCAGCGTGCCAACTTTGTTCAGCACACAGGCAATATTAGTAAGATGTATCTTCCTTGTGCTGTCCCTGGATCCTCATCCACAGAAGTGACTTCCCAGCTCCTGAACTGAGCATTTAATGGCAGTAGGTCTTAAAGTAGAGGAGCTAGAAGTCAGTCTCCATCTTTGCTCCACCCTGGCCCCTGCCCACAGACACCAGGGTTCTTGTTGTAAGCTGACTTCATGCCTTTGCTTCCAGCCCCATTGGCCTCTTGGAGCTTCCTAGCTCAGGCTCTGTAGGAAATCCACCAGCAGATGCTCTGGGAAGCCAAAGTCCATCTGCAGCAACAGAAAACCCTGCAGGAGAAAAAGGATAGGCTGTGCCAGTTTTCAGGCCACCAGGAGCAAGCTGCTCCCTAACAACAATGCAACACTCTAAGACAGCCGTCCTATTTAGCTTTAACTGTCAACTTGACACAGCCTAGAGTCTATCTGGGAGAAGTTTCAACTTAGGAATTGTGTAGATCAAGTTGGCCTGTGTGCATGTCTATGGGGCACTGTCTTGATTGTTAATTGATGCAGGAGTGTTCAGCCCACTGTGGGCAGCACCATTCCCTAGGCAGGTAGTCCTGAGCTGTATAAGAAAGCTAACTAACTCTCATGAGCTAGAGAGCAAGCCAGCAAGCAGTGTGCCTTGATGGTTTCTTCAAATTCCTGCTCTGATTTCTCTCAATGATGGACTGTAATCTAAACTGAACAAACCCTTTCCTCCTCTAAGTTGCTTTTGGTCAGAGTGTTTTATCATAGGGACAGAAATCAAATTAGCATGACAGTTGTCTGAGCTCTCTACCCAGGATACAGGACTGGGGACAACTTCATACTCACATCACGAGTGATGATCTCAGGGTTGATGATGTCAAAAAGGTCCAGGCCTTTGCTGTTTATGAGAGTTGTCAATGCCACCTCCAGCCCTGGGCAGGGAAGGGAGCCCAGTCAGCCCTTCTGGGACAGCAAGACCAGCCCCAGGTTGTGGCACCAGAGCAGCCCAAGTAGATGTTGGTATTAATGGTTTATGAGGTGGCAACCTGCCTGCAAGTATACTTAGGGAGCAGCTATTACTCCCCAGGCATACCCTGGTGGTCAGTCCTCACTTGTAGAACTTCCCAGAGTTCTTTGTAACCACACAGAAACTCTCCCCTGCAACCCATTTCATCCTTGAGATAGTTAAGCTATCTGTTTGGTTGTTGCAGTACTGGGGATTGAACCCAGGACCTCACTCATACTAAGCAAGCATTCTACCACTGAGCTACATCTCCAGTCTTTTTACTTTTTTTGAGACAGGATCTCACTAAGTTGTCCAGGCAGGACCTGAACTTTCTATATAACCCAGGCAGGGGGTTGATCTTGTAATCCTCTTGCCTCAGCCTCCCAAGTAGCTGGGACTACAGGTGCACACCATCATACTTGGCTTCCCATATAGCTTTAGCTCTATGGTACTGATGGGGGAAATTGAAGCTGAGAAAGACCAAGACACTCAGCTGGGTTAAATCCAGCTTCTCTTCCTCCCCTGTCTATCAAATCCATGTGGACAAGCAGATGTTTAAAATGAAGCCATAGCCAGCTCAGTGTACTATATATGGAAGGGAAAAAGAAACCCTGATAGGGCCCTGTCCAAAGTGTGCTCTACGCACCCATGCTATGATATCTGAAATGCCACCGTTACAGTGGCTGCATATGGACAGAGCTCTTATGTCAGGGTCCATAAGGAATTTGGGAATCAGTAAGTCTGATGCTCTCATTTCCTAGGAATGGAAACCGAGGTTTGTGCTGGAGTTCCACTGGCTCTATAGCCTGTCAGCTGTCAGGGTTCCTTCTATCACATTCAGTTGCCATTAGGAGACCTGTGTCCTTAAAGTGAGTTTAGTGAACTGAGATGATATGGGCTCTGTTCTCAAGATGAACCAGAATCAGAGGTATGTGCACCTGGCCACCACAGGTGTGCATTGCCAGCAGCAGGAAGAGGAGCCTGGAAAAGGACTGAGGGATCAAAAGAGTCACTCACTGGCTTGAGAACCAGAGACACTTCAGGCTCTGCCTCTGTGTTGAACAACCTAGAAGTGGAAATAAAGTGAAGCCAGAGCCCTGCCCCATCCTTTCCTTCAGCCCACACTTACGAAACAAGACCTCGGGGATGCCCACTGTGGTGATCATCAACTGCAGGAAGCTCTGGATGGACTCGGAGCTGCTCTGCCAATCAGAGGCCCATGGTGAGTACTCCCTGGAGCACAGATATGACCCAAGGCACAGAAGGCCACACAGCCTAGGCAAGCACTCATTCACATGCCCATAAAAATGTGCATCTGAATTCAACCCTCTCCTGCTCCTCCCCAGAGCCTTCCCCCACCCAGGTTAGGGTTGCTATTCTATCCCCAGAGGGGAAACTGGGGTCCAGGGAGAGGTTACCTGGCCAGTATTCTCCTGTCCTGTGGTCTAAGTCTACCATGATCCCATTTCTACAAAAACAATGGTTCACCTGGCAGACAGTGGAAGAAAATCCACAAGAGACCCAGGAGAGACCATCTGGTCTAATTTCTTTTGGTCTATTGCTTAATTTCTTTTAGGGACCTCTACCTGCTTTCCCTTAAGGGCCTATTTCTCCCAAGACCACCTACCTCAGCCTTGATGGAAGAAGCCTTTGGTTTAATCCTGAAATCAAGAGAGAGAAGAAGATAAGGTTAGAAAAGCTCCATCTTTGCTGGGCCTGGTGACATATGCCTGTAACCCAGCACTCAGAGGCCAAGGCAGAAAGATTGAAAATTCCAGGCCAGCCTGGGCTATACAGTGAGACTATTTCTCAAAAGAGCAAGGACTGAAAGTATAGCTCAATGGTAGAACACTTGCTAACAAATGAAAGGCCCTGGGTTTCATCCTCAGCACCCAACTCCACATACAAAGAAAAAGAGATGGAAATTTGGCCCTCTTTGGGACCCTTCCCATAACACTCCCCAGAAAATAAACTTTCATACCTCTTTCAGTGCTCTTCGTGCTCTTCTTCGATGTCTTTCACTATTTGCCCTCCAGCTACCCAGTCTTTCCTCAGATTGGCGCTCCTCCCCCCAGGCCCTCCCTTCACACTGATGCCTCTTCCTCCCAAAGCTGACCCTAGGGAGGGCTCTTCTCTCCCTGCAGACACTCCTAAATCCTGAAAGGAAGCAGCCTCATTTCCCCCACCAGGTCCTAGTCCTGTGCCTGACCCCAGGGCCAGGACAGGTATGTTGAGTCCACCCCATTCTTTTGGACCCATGATACATACTGGAAATCCACAAGGCTTAAGAAGAGCTTTTTCTTGGAATAGGAGGCCTGGATGGTAGTGACAATATCCTGAGGAGAGAAACCAGGTACTGTGAGCTGGGTCCTCCCGGAAACAGAGAGCTACCCTCTGGGTCCAGGGCTCTTGACCCTCTGCACTGAGCAATCAGAGAGGCACCGGGAGCACTGGGTCCTGAGGAATTATGGGAGCAAGCTGAGCTATGGGGTCTGAAATTTAGTGGAAGGTTGAAGACATAACTCTGTAATAGAGTGCTTGCCTAGCATGCCCTGGGCTCCACAAATGGAAACCAAAACAAACATGAGTCATAGACAAAGCAGGAACACGTGATTCAAGCACAGGATAAAACAGCAACAGCCATTCTCTGAGGTGTTCAGGTAGCAGACTTAGCAGGAAGAGACTTCAAAACCACATTATCAGTGGTTAAAGAACTAAAAGAGACCATGTTAGAGAATCAAATGAAAATATGATACAAATGGCATCAAATACACACTATAAAGCAATTGTGCTGGACAGGTGGCTCAGCAGTTAAGAGCACTTAGTGCTCTTGCAAAGGGTCCACTTTCGGTTCCCAACACTCACATGGCAGTGAGCAACCATTCATAATTCCAGTTCCAGGGCATCTGACGCCCTCTTCTGGCCTCCATGGACACTGTACACACATGGTGCACTTACATGTAAGCAAAACACTCATACACATAAAAAATGAAAATAAATAAAATACTAAAAAGGGAGGCCATGGGCTAGGGTTATGACACAGTTAAGTACTTAGGGTATAAATGTGAGGAACAGAATTTGATCCCCAGCACCCATGTAAAAAGCCAGGCATGGCAGTACATGCCTACAATCCCAGTGCTTGGGTGGCAGAGACAGGAGGATCCCTGGGGCTTGATGGCCAGCTGTCTTGCTATTTTGGTGAGCCTAGATTCTGTCAGAAATTCTGTCTCAAAAACTAAAGTACAGAATGGTAGAGGAAGATACCCATGTCAACCTCTAGCCTCCATGCACTCCACGCGTGTGTGTGCACTCGAGATACACATAAATATGTACACATGTATACACCACACACCCCAAAAAAGAAAAGAAAAGAAAAATAGGGCTGGAGACATAGCTCAGTGGTGGAGCCCTTACCTAGGATGCACAAGGTCTTAAGTTAGATATCTAGCACATAAATAAATAAATAAATAAATAAATAAATAAATAATAAATAAATAATAAATGAATAAATGAATAAATAAAAGCAAAACTGAAAAAGGTCCTCAGCACTTGTGGCTTTGGACTTAAGATCCTGTCTGACCTGCTCACATATCCAACGGCTTCTTCCAGGCAGGTCTGAAAATACCAATGACCAGGACTTCCCTGAATTCCTCCCATCCTCCACCTCCAAAGGGAAACCACTCTCAAAGCAAGCTGAGACTTCTTGGTGGCTGCATATGTCTGTATTTTCACACTCTGCAGACCTAATACCCCAGATGGCTGCTGTTCTGGGTGCGCATGGTGGTCAGCAGCTCGGAACCAGAAGCAAGAAGTGTATGGGGAAATGTACTTGAGCCTTGCCCAACACAAACCAGACACTCCAGGGATGGGACCAGGAATCTGTGCTTTGCCAGCCTCCTTGGGTCATGTTCATACATGTCAGTGTGTGAGACCCAAGAACCAGATGGCCTTCAAGTAACTTTGATGTTGAATGTAAGTGGCCTCAGTACCTTCCCTGCTCATTCTTTTTAATTTCATAGCACCAGGCAACAGAAGAGGTTATACTCTTTTGTTTGGCTGGACCAATACTGTCTATCTCTGTGTATTAGGGTGCAAGCTTTGAGAAGTCAAGAGTCATATGGCCTGGGCCACAGTGAGAACTCTTGGGTGTTGCAAAGAAACAGATGAGTGCACAGTGCAGAAGGTGCAGAAGCTATTGATTCAAGGACAAAGGAAACCTGAGACCTTGAACAAATGTCCTCTTGGTTCAGGGAAGGGGTAAATCCATTGCCTCTCTAGGCCAACTTCCACCAGAGCTTATTTTAAAGTCCTCTCAGTCCAGTCAGCCTACACCAGCACTGATTATGATATCTCCTCCTGCCCCACTTCACAGTCTTCTGTACTTTGACTTCTTCCTTCTGGTCTCTCAGCCTCAGGATGGTCTCAACCCACCTCCAGCCTGACCTACAACTCACCCCAAACACCCACACTGAGACCTCCCTCCCCAGGCCCTGATTATACTCCCTACCCACCAGGACACCTTCCTGCACTTCTCTTAGCCCCTGGGGATCTGGCCAGGTCATCTTTCTGGAAGCTCTCCCTCCTACTGTCCAGGGAGATTCCAGTTCCTGAAAGCCACTGATGACACAGCCAAGATCACAAGCAAGAGGAAGAGTCTTCAGGAGTACGGAGCACGAGGGCCACTGGGGAAGTCAGGGGATGGGAAGAAGTGGGACACCTGTGGAGGAGGGGATTTGGCATGTGCTTTCTGTGGTCTGACCAAAATTCTTTGATTGGTCACATTTCAGTCATACTCTTGAACCTTCTCCTGGGACCATTTGTGTACCATCCAGGCTACCCTCCTCTCTGACTAGGTGACTCATCCTCCACTCACTCCTGTGATGGAGGCACCTGATCACCTTGACCATCTTTAGCAAGAATCCTGTTGGGTCAGTTTCACCAGACTCACCCCAGCTCCCCTGCCTTACCCTCGAGTACCAATTCCCCTTTTGTGACCAAGCTGTATTCAGAGTTGATCCCAATACCCCTGCCACCACTCACTTCTGGCAAGACTCAATGCAGTGGTCCCTGTCCTTACTTAGACCCAAGTAAGGCTTTCACCCAGCATTAACAAGTATCATTGAATAAGTTTTCTTTAACAAGTACTCTGAACTGCTCCGTTTCTTAAAGAAACAATAAGATAATGTAAATAGAACAGTATAAAACCTTAAGGATTTTCAAACAGCTGAATGCTGTATGTTCCATGAACTGGCTCTCAGTAAAGACACTGACAGGATTCACATGAAGTTTGGCGTTAGTCACTCAGAGGTGACCAGTGGTGACCACTCAGTCATGACAAATGGAACTTGTTTCTGGAGAAGTTAGCAGCACATAACCAGGTCAGGGGCATATGGAACCTTTTGTCCTGTCTTTTCAATTCTTATTCAAACCTGGAATTACTAAAACATAAGGAGTTTGAGCCAACAGAGAAGGCTAAGTGGGTAAAGGTGCCTGAGTTCAATCTCTGGGACCCACATGGAAGGGGAGGACCAACTCCTCCAGGCCGTCCTCTGACCCCCACAGGCTGTCCATGGCACATGTGCACACACAAAGAGAATAAGTAAAATATTTTTAATTAAAATTAAAAATTTAAGATAAGGAGTTTATTCTTAAAATGTAAATTGCTAGAAGGAAATTCATCCCTGGTCCATAGCAAGGTGGGGATACAGGGCTGGACAAGGGCTCTGTCTGAGACTCTGCCTTTCTCCTCCATGTATTAGTATTCCCATTAAACACCTGCACTGCTTTTGTCCTTTTGAGTGTTTCTTGTTTTGATTTGGAGTGGGGTTTTTTTAGTTTTAGTTTTATTTTATTTGCAACATGATTCCCCTGTGTAGCCCAAGTTGGTCTTGAACTCACAACCCTCCTGCCTAACCTCCAAATGCCGAGATTATAGGCATAGAGCTCCATGCCTACTGTCTTCAGTGCTTGATGTATTAAGAAATATTGAAGATATACTGAAGAGCATTGCAGACTAGGATGGCCCTCGGCTCCTTATTTACAATTACATATAAGCTTGTGTTTCTAAATTGGTCAAACCTAACCACTCAGAGGGAGGCTTTGTACTGCTTATTGGTTTCACTTTATATGACTATAAGACATGTACAAATATTGATATACTTGACTGTGGGATGCTCAGCAGCAACACCTCCAGCGCATACACACACTATATTGCTTTCCTAAAATCTATGGCACATGGAAATCAGGAAATCCACATGGTCCTAACAGGTATGGGTAGGGGCTTAATAAACCTAAGTGGCAAGTAGCCATGTGCCAGCACTCAGCTTAAAAGCCATTAGCAAAGCTGGGGGCATCCCATGGGCACCCCTTCTGGCTCACATGACATAACTTTGATGATCAGGAGTCATGGATAAGAAACAACCAATCCCAGCAGAGACAGGAAGAACAGGGAGATTTTAGAGGCCACCAGATTCCCCCTTCCCCTGCGCCCATCTCACCTCTTCAAAAGTGTGAGCCACAGAACCTTGCCCATTTTCATGTGGGAAGAGAAATTCCAGCACCACAGGAGAGCTGACCACAACGCCCTTGTTCTGGCAGGAGATCGTGGGCCTCCTCGAACAATGGACAGTGACTCGGGCAGGGCTAGTGAAGGAGCCGCTGAACAGCTGTGGGAGATAGGGGCCCGGATGGAGGCCATCAGAAGATGGTTTCTGCCCTCAGAGACAGGAGGGATGAGGATGACTGGGTCTCAGGTGGGAAGAAAGGAAGCAGCTTATGGCCGTGGCACAGGACCCAGGCTGTGCCCCCAGGGACCCAGGCCAGGGACACTGAAAGAAGTTAGGAATCTTGCCCTCTATTGCCCTCAGTGTTGTTATCTGAGGAACAGTGAAACTGTTGCTTCTCTGCCTGCCTCTGGGGGCATGATAAGGATGCAGTTGCCTAGCCTTGGGGGCCTCACCTTCCTGGTCTGTAAAATGAGGATTCCAACAGTGAAGTGCAAATGAGAGAATTCACTAACAGAGCAGAGTGGCTGCCCTGCTGTGTGGAGGCCCTCCCAGAGGGGCTGCTGTCACTTCTAATAATGTTGATGGGGCCCTTACTAACCAGCTCTGGCCAAGAGTTAGATTCAACAGAGAACCAGACACACATGGCATCTGCCTGCAAAAGTTCAATACTCATCAGATAATATCAGAACTAAATGTACACTTGTAACCAACGAGTATTGAAAGGAGAGACAGACCAGGCAGTGGTACCAGAGTCCTGGAGGGGGAGGATCTGACCTAGCTCAGAAGGTGGAAGAGGCCTGCCTATGTATGGGAAAGAGTCAGATGGGAAACAGGGTCAGGGAAGCCTGTGGATGGGGAGGAATCAGATGGGAATTGGGGGTGGGGGAATAGAGTGAGCAAAGGCCCTGTAGGACAGACCTGCAGATGGCAGGTCAGCTGAGCAGGGCTGCAGGACCTGTAGTCTGTGGGACAGGACCAGCAGCCTCTGTAGTCACTTAGCCAATAGGTGCATTGTAACAAGAAGCTTTATTTAACTCATAACTGAGTTCAAAATGAAGAAAGGAACAATTTTAGGTCTGGAGACTGAAAGTCACCTGAAAACTAAAACTGTATGCAGCAGAGCCCTGAGACACAGGAGAGGATGTGGCCCCAAACCACATGGCCCTGGGCTTTGATGCCCTCAGAAAGTGGTGAGGCACAGAGCTAGAAATAAGACATTTCTTCTCTGTGGAAAGAAGACTGTAAAAGCTACCCTGGTAAAGGAAACCATAGGGAGGTTTGGAGTGGGATGGAGGGTGTAAATTAAAAGCCCAAGTCACCACAGGGCACCGTGTGTACACACCTGCAGTCCCAGCTGAGGCAAGAGGATCAAAAGTTGAAGAACAGCCTGAGCTACATAGCAAGTCTGGCTACGTACTCGAGTAAAGTGCTGCCTCAAAGCAACAGCTGCAGCAGCAATAACAGCAACAACACAAAAAGCAAAACAAGCAAACATCCACAGATTGTAGCACTGAAGTTAAACATGTGTACATTAGTCTGGCACAATACAGGACTTCCCAAGCTGAAAAATTAACATTAAAAACAAATCCAGACTAATGAATATCCTTTGTTGTCCCTGGCATAAATAAACACAAAACCCCTTTCTTAGGAACTTTAGGTAATCTAGTGAGCAGAGTCTGCCCAGAGAAAGCCCAAATTCCACTAGAGAGGGACTTCCAAATAGACAAGAATGACCAGGACACCAGGAGGCTCACAGCAGCTACCCAGCAACACCACCAGTAGAAGGGGGCAGAGTCTAAGGATTGCCCTCAAGGAGCAACCTGGAAGAAACAGAAAAGTAGACCTTCAAAACTGATGAAAGGAGACTCATATGAGATGACAGCATTCCAGGGGTGGGAGAAAAGAGTTTGAGCTGAAAATAAACTGAATAAAAATTCTAGAAATAAAAATGATTGCTATTAGAATGGATCACTCGGGCTGAGCATGGACCTCAGGGATGAAGCACTTGTCCAGCCCGCACAAGGCTCTGGGCTCCATCCTCAGTGCTGCAAAATAGAGAGAGAGATAAGACAAAAACTGAGGAGTGCTCTGTTGGGGGCACTCTGGGAGAAGCAGTTTGGTGGTAGCTACTGAATGGTTACTGAGTGTGTGGAGAGGGAGCAGGAAGATGGAAAGGCAGCTAGAGATTTGAGGGTGGTAGGGAAAACCCAAGGAACGGCTGCAGTGGGCAGGGGAGCGAGTCCACCAGAAAGCTGATAGAGTTCACCCAAGAGGGTGAGGGGCCATTCAAGGTTGGAACCTTCTTTTAGGAGCAGGTTTATGGACATTATCACCAAGTAACACAAGCAGAGGCTGTGATCCCAAGAAGCTCGCCTGGGGCTAGCTTTGGGATCAGTAATAAGTAGTCACATCCTAGTGCCTGAGCTCTGTGAACCTAGGGCTGATCCTGGGGTTCCAATAGCACCTCCCCATCAGGTCTTAATGGCTGGGTAAAGAGCAGGGGTGTGGAACATAGTCTTTGGAGCCTCCATGACTGGCTTGAAGGCATTCGCCAGGCTTCCCCATGTGAGAATGGAGCTCAGAACAGTGCCTGGTTCTCAGAGCTGTGGGAAGCTCTGTAGGAGATGATAAGCAGAAAGTCTTAGCAGGGTGCTGGTCACCCAGGAGCTCAGGCTTGCTGCTGTGCTTGTCACTGATGCCTAGGCTGGCTTAGAGTTGGGGAGCTCCTGAAGCAGGAACAGGATTGGGGTACACAAGCCAAACCCCAAGCTGTAGGCGCTTGCCTCTGGAATGATTTCCTGGTTGAAGTTGAAGCTCCAGGTCTCCAGCACTGCCTAAGAGAGAAAGGGTGGATACAGGTGAGGAGGTCACTCCTTCCTCAGAAGGACATTTCACAGATGGGGTACAATGTCAGGGACTGGACCCCTCTCCACTCCCAAGTGCCAATGCCCCAAATAAGATCAAGCAAGAAGCCCTGACCTGGCAGGAGGCTGGCCACACCCAGGCTGTGAAACCCTGGGAGTCTTTCCCCACCTAGGAGCCTCAACTTGCCTAGTAATTCACTGGCAGACATAGACTGGAAGCCACCTAAGCGTTTCTTAAGGATGCAGGCTTGGATGCCATCTCTTCCGACCTATGCTATCTGGGACAAGCTATCCACCCCCTCTGAGCTTAACTTTTTTTTTTTTTTTTTAGCCACCTAAGCGTTTCTTAAGGATGCAGGCTTGGATGCCATCTCTTCCGACCTATGCTATCTGGGACAAGCTATCCCCCCCCTCTTGAGCTTAACTTTTTTTTTTTTTTTTGCATAATGAAGGAGGTAATGGTGATACTACTTGCAGCAAGACCAATGACAGTAGAAGCAGCACCAATGTTTAAAGCAGCTTCTACTTAGTGCGTAATTACCACGTCTAGCTATTGTTTTATTGATCAGTCAATCCTACATACCACACATAGTGAGCACCAATAAATGTTAGAATTTAATTGTATGACTGCAACTTGGTGCCTCATGGCTCCTTTGCCTGACACCGAGTTCCTTCCAGGCTCCCACGGGTGGGCACAAATGCATGCAGACCACCACCCCTCACCTTGAACTCTGCCTCTGTCAGGCTGAGCTGGAAGTGGCCATCTTGGAAGGCAACCTTGGCTAAGGAGTCAAGGACTTGCTCAGAGAACCAGAAGTAGAGCATGCGGCTGTCTCCCAGCAGTGTGGGCGAGAAGGGAGGGAGGGGATGCTCCTCTGAGATGTTCTTGTAGATGAAATGACCCTGGAAGAAACTGGGATGCTGGCTGCCCTTCCCATGTCCCTCCTGGTCTCAGGAGCCTGCCTCAGGAAGTCAAGTGGACCTTGGAAAGCATTCATCCCACAGAACAGGTGGGGAAACTGAGGAAGAGCTGGATTCAGTTTCCTCCCAGCCTGGCCTCCTTTCATTCAAAGTGCCTGCTGTGTCCCTAGCCAATGGGAGCTAAGCCAAACAGGCTTGGTCACCACCTCCCAGACCGACATTCTACTAAAGACAACAGTCAGAGCAGCTGGCATTCAGAGGAGCTGGAGACCCATGCTCCCACTGCCCTGCTGCCACTAGCCCTGCACCTTTGGGGAGCTGATCATCAATGGTCACCAGTCCCAGGCAATAATCAGGAAGAGAAGCTACAGCTGGTCCCCTGCCCACTGATGCCAGCCACCCCCAGGTTGTAGAGGGTCTTCAGGAGCATCTACAATCCCCTGAAGTGCTCCATTTGGTTACTTTTCTAGGGACAGGCCCATCAGAGGGGTGGCTGGTAGTTCTTTCCTCTCTCACAGTTCTGTGACACCTCTCTCAAGTTATTAGCGTGGCTTCCTAGAGTAACCCTCTCAGCGTCCTCTGCAGTCAGGTGTCACCAAGCCCAAGCCCATAGGATGTGAGCAGAGAGGGGGTAGCATTGGGGCCATAACCCAGCGCAGTTGTGCACACTGACAGCAGGGAGCCCCCAGATCCACTGAACAGCACACACAAGGCCATGCCCCAAGAAAAAGAAACAGCTGTGGGCTTTAAACTGCTAGTCTCTTAGAGCTCTTTGTTATAGCAACGTAACCCATGCCCCAGGTAATACGTGATCCAGATCTTCCGCCAGATCCCCAAGGGGCTGTGGCTACCCTGAATGACTGCTATGGAAGAGACAAAATGCAAATAAGCCTTCTGGAAAGGAGTAGGTGCTTCGCAGGGACCCTAGGAATGGGGTACGTCAGTGTCTACAGAGGGTTTGGGCACACAGACCCAGGCCCTACCTTTCTGGCCATAGATAAAACACCCAACAGAGGTGTGGAGAGGGTATACTTGGCCTCCATGCAATAGAAGCTGGGGCAGAGGGGGTGGAGGGTAAGGACTGAGTCCAAGGACACACAAGAAGGAGAGTCCTGCTCCCTCTTGCCACACCCACCTTGTGATGGGACTCCAGGTAGGTGGCAGTGATGACAGGTGATCTTGTCAAGGAAATGTCTACCTCAGTGTCTCCATCCGACAGAATGTTAGCTGTGGGAAGGAGAGGTCAAGTGGAGCCTGTGGATGAGGTCAGCCTTGAGGGGTACAGAGAACCCAGCCCAGGAGTGCCCTAGCCCAGGAGTGCCCATCTGTAAGACAGTTCTGGGGCCAAGGGAAGGCACTGGTTTACTCTCTTGTATCAGCTTCTGTCTGTCTGGGTGACTCTACCCTGCAGAAGTCCTTGGGGAAGAAGCTTTCAGAGTCGGAGGCCCAGTTTGTAACCCTGGATCCACTCTCTACTGGGAGTGGCAGTGGCAGACAGTGACCTGCACTCTGGGAACTCATGTCCTCATCTCCAAGTCCAGAATCTACCTCAGGACTGTGTTCATTGGGCTCATTTGTGCATAAGTGTTAGACAGGGCAGAAGCAATTCTAACCATCTTCCTTGCAAATCTCCCAAGTCATACAGGGCAGCAAACTTCTTCCACAAAGGATCAGACAGCAAATACCTGAGACTCTGCAGCCTACGGGGGCTCTGCGGGCACCAATCCCATTAGTTGTGCTGTTCAGGAGTAGGTATGGCTGTGAGTCAATGAAACTTGACTGACACAAGTAGACAGAGCCAAGTGGCAGAGTCAAGCCCAGAGTGCAGCAGAGGTGGCTCAGCTCTGCCTTCGTCCTCAGACCTGCCCTGGGTGGGATCCCTACAGCCCAGTTCCTCTGAGTTCTATATCTCTGCCTTGCCCCTTCCTGCTAGTTCCACACATATGCCCTGGTGACAGGGACACCCCAACTCCAGTCTGTAGACTGTATGTTTCCCAGTCCAGGTTTTGACAGCAATGGTGGTAGGGAGGAAGGCAGCTGCTGGTTCCCTCCTGAGGCTCCTCTGGGCTCTAGGCAACAGACTAAGATGCTGCCAAGAACACCTGGGGCTAGCTGGGGACTTCCCTTCCAGACTCAGCCTGAAAAGCCCCAGGGCTCCTGACCCAGGGCTTCATTATTCTTACTGCGTTTGTTATGGAGCAAAGAGCATCCGCTAGAAATCAAGCCCAGGCTCAGTGCTCAATTATTAGTGGACCAATGTTCAAATCCTCTTCCTGCTGGAGATGTGTGTATGTGTCCTTGGTCAACTCCTAAACTTATCATCATCAGTAAAATAGGGTTAGGAGGACTGTCTATCTAGAGGTCCAAGTCAAACGGGGCATCATTGAGTAAGTCAGCAAACAGTGGCTGGTACCATCAGTACCAGACGGAACAGAACTGCCCACCTCACTCAATACTGGATTCTCTGTCCTCTGTCCTCCCAGTGACTTGGGGACAGCCCCACTGGACAGATGACAATAGAGTTCCAATGGTTTCTTCTACATTGCACAGCCTTGTGGAAGCTCCCCATAAGCCAAGGCCTGGGGAGAAGTTTGGGAAGACATTCTAGGACACTCAGGGGAGCTCTCCCTCTCCACACCGCCTTCTTTCTTCTCATCTTCCATCTGTTTGCTGTTGCTGGAAATGTAGTTGGTGCTGGGCTTGGTGGCAGGGGCATAGGGTACTGACAATACTAGTCACAGTAATAAGGGCTGGCAATGGGCCAGCTATTGTCTTATGTTCCTTACTTTTATCTCACTCAATTCTTACAGCCACACTGTGGGGTAGGAAGCTGTTATTACCCCATATTATCAAAGAGGAAACTGAAGTTCAGAGGTATATAGCAACTGGCTCAAGGTCATATAGCTTATAAAGCTGCAGCTCCAAGGGGAAGTAACTGGCCAATCAGCAAGAGCCACGCAGGGGAGTGACCATCACAGTGTCACAGAGTGAACCATGCAGACAAAACTTACCAGCCTTTGTCTGGACAAAGTCAGCCATAATGTTGGAAATGACGCTGATTTCCTTGCAGATCTGGATTGGACAGGGTAGGTTGTTCACTAGGCAGGCAAGGAGGCCAGAGAAGAAGCAGATGGTGCCTCCCTCCAGCTGTGGCAGGATGGTTGTGCTGGGAATGGGCACAGGGAAGGATGGGCTGGGAGGGGAGGAAGTCTGACTGTTGGGCATGAGTCTGGACCACACTCAGGTAGGCTGGCCTCACCCACCTGCCCCTTCAGGACCAGCTTCAGGGTGAAGGAGATGAAGTTTGTGAACAGCTGTTTGATCCACCCAGGCCTGAGGGAAGCAAGCATTACAGTGGGCCTCTGAGCAGTCATGTGCATGCATTAAGTGCTTACTGTATGCTGGGCACCTTTCAGAGCTCTGCTAGCCTCAGAACCCTAGAGCTCAGGAGATAGGCACCATCATGCCACTTCACAGCTGGGAACACTGAGCCCCAGAATGCCTGGGACCCAAGTGTTAACCACATTGCTGCCTCAAACTTCCCCTGTCACGCTTCTGCCTGCCACGATAAGCCTACAGTCCACATTCATACATGTGTCCATTTGCTACAGGGCAAAGAGTACCCTTCTCTCCAGTCCCCAGATACCAGCTTCCTCCTTCAGTCCAAGTTTGTTGTGTGCTAAGGCTTCTCTGAACCTCAGGATCCTTCTTTAGGCAATGAGTTTAGGACACTGCTTATCCCATAGCACATTCTCAATAATGGAGATTTTCCCCAGTTTTAAGGATGCACTGATGGGGGGAGGGGCTGGAAATGGCTCCCATGAGGTCTGGGTGCCCTAGGCATGCCAGGAGAGGGGCACACTAACAGGACTGGGGCACACGGAAAGGAGGTTTCAGAGGTGACAACTTACTCACGCTCCCCTTGGAGATGCAGGAGCAGCTTGTGGAAGGACAGTGAGCAGTCAGGGGCATGGGTCTGTACTTTGCCAGAGTTGCAGGCTGCAGAGAACCCAGCACCCGTTAGCAAAGCCTGGGCTAATGGGCAGCACCTATGGGCTGCCCAGGCCAGCCAGGAGCACGGCCAGCTCTGGGCTTCCTGCCCTGCCAGCTTTCCCAGCATGTGACTTAGAAGACCTGTCTGCTCAGCCTTCTGTCCCTGAGGCCTGGCCTCCCACTTTCCCAGAGGAGCCGACATACTCAGCTGTGTGTTGATGTGGAGGTCAATGGCAGACTCGATCTCAAAGTCCACAGACTGCTCAATGTTCAACCTGCAAAAGGCCAAGGACCCAGCACCCTCATTCAATTGGTCTCACCTTCCTGCCACAGAGAGGCCAGCAGGTGGCACTTGCTAATGGGAATGCTTACCCCCAGGCTCCAGTGTAGCCATAGTTCAGGGTCCCCTTGAAGATCACAGATGCGTTTTGAATGGAGACATCAACTGACTTGGCCTCCACCAGTTCAACCTGACTGCTGGCGACCGACAGATGGCTGATCTGGATGCTGTGAGGACCAATGGCAGTAAGGAGGGGTACTGTGGATCAAGGAGGGGCTGTCCCTGCCTCTTCACATGCTCAATGAACCTTGTCCTATCCTGCTGTACTGGCACTAAGTTTACCTGAGTCTTCAGGGATCCCCTGAAGTCGCCTCCATCTTTGTTGAAGAGGCTCATGAGAGTATTAGGATAACAACACCCAAATGTTTAGCTCCCAGTCCACAGAGGGGACCATGATGCTATTAAAGCCCTTGAGGAAGGAGGAGAGGACCCTGGCCATCTGGATGGATGTAAGCTAATGGCAGAAGCCTGTTGGACAGTGGAAAAGAGAGGCAGGAAAGTGGAGACATGTCACCAGGGAGGAAGGGCAGAGATGCCACCTTGCCAGTCTCAGAGATGAAGGAATCAAAAGCCTGAACTGGGGATGGCCTCTAGAAGCTGCAAAAGGCAAGGACACTCATCTCCCCAAGGGCCTTAGAAGGGCTCCCTCCTGGCTCCTTGACTGTAGCCCCATGACAATCCTATCCTTTAACTAGAAGATAATAAGTATGTTTTACTTGAAGCCACCAAATTTATGCGGATTTGTCATGGTGGCAAATAGGAAACGGGCACAGAGTTCTTCCTATATATATTCATGCTTGTGCAGGGGCATGTGCACATGTATGTGGTGCCTGTGGAACCAGAGAATGACCTTGGGTGTCATTCCTCAGAGGTCTGTCCACCTCTTTTTGAGACAGTATCTCTCACTGGCCTAGAACTCATCAAATAGGTTAGGCTTGTTGGCCAGTGAGCCTCAGGGATCTTCCTGTCTCCAAATTCCCAGTGCTGGGCTTACAAGTATATGCTGCCACACACCTGGGTGTGGTTAATGTGTGTATGTTTGTGTGGGTGTGTGCATGTATATGTATGCGTAGAGGCCAGAGGTCAATGTCAGTTTTCTTCCTCAGTCACTCTTAACCTTACTTTTTGAGGTAGGGTTTCTCACTGAACTTGGAACTCACCAATTGTCTAGACTGATGGCCAATGAGTGCCAAGGATCAACCTGTCTCCCCTCCAACCTCTAGTGCTAGGGTTACAGGCATGTGCACCAGGCTCAGCTTTTATGTGGATGCTAGGTATCTGACTTCAGGTCCTCACGCTTGCATGGCGGGCACTTTACTAACTGTGCCATCTCCCCTGCCCTTTCTGTTCTGTTCCATTCTGTTCTTTCAGAGATGATAACATAGAGAACTTTTCTGTACTCAGTAGTATCAGTCATGGCCCACTCCCAGTTCCTCTAGCCATGCCTGTGTGGGCAACAGTTACATGAACAAAATCTATTCTCAGGCAGTCTGGCCTGGGTTACTGCTAATTTATTAAAGGTAGTGCCTGCTTTAACAATACCTAAGGCACTTGGTATTGTTGGTTATTGTCTGGCCTCTTATGACATAGGTCTGGGATGTCATTATTCTCTTTATAAGGAAGAGGAAACTGATACTTAAGGTCACATGGAGCCCTGGCCACCTCAGCCCCTCTCATCCCACTTGTAGCCTGCCTCACCAAGCAGCATTTGAGCTCCACCAGTGCCCCCTAGTGGTTTCAAAGTAGGCACAGGCTCTAGTACTAGCATGATGCTGGACAAGGTGCTGGGTCTGTTTTAGGGACCTAGGGAGGGGGAAGAGGAGTTTGGTTTTAAATATTTTATTATTTTTTTATTTTGTATGTATGGGTGTACTGCCTGCATGTGTGCAAGTTCACCCATGGCATCCAATGCCTGTGGAGGTCAGAAGAGGGTGTCAGAGTCCCACCATGTAAGTGCTGAGAATAAAACCAGGTCCTCTACAAGAGCAGCCAGGGCTCTCAACTGCTGAACCATCTCTCCAGCCAAAGAGGCTGATTTTAAAACAAAGATAAGGTCCCAGAACAGCATCCACCCCAGGCTTGGACACACACAGAGACAGGGACCCAGGCTCTAGGCAGCCTGAGGTAAGAAGTAGCCCTGTCCCAGTTGTCCTAGGAGGAGAGCTCAGAGTTCACTTGTGCCTGCCTTGCTGTATGACTCCAAGCTGCCTATCCCCTCTGGCTTCTTGCTTTCTTACTTGTTAAGCTGGGTGCTTAGAGGGATACAGTTATGAAAAGAAAAAGGATGCAGCTTGTAAAGCATCTGGCCACAGGCGGCCCTTGGCCGTGACTATCATTTCAATCAAATTAGGACCTGTTTGGCCAGGAGATCTCAGAGCACTGCCTCTGTTTGCCTCATTTTCCCAGTGCAGAAGAAAAGGGCCTCCGCCCAAATCTTACAGGGGCTGCTGGAGAGGTAGGTATATGCCTTTGACTCCAGGGTCACTCAGAGTTGGAAAGATTGAAAGCAGGGGGAAGGTTTGTCAGATGGGAGCCCGAGTTCTGGGGCTGCCCCTCCTCCTGGGGCCCAGCAAGCCCAAGGTTCTCCCCTTCAGTCCTGCCACTCACTTGTGCAGACCATACTTGACACGGCCAAGGAGCATCATGGCCTTCTCGCCCTTGATGTCTGGGTAGGGCGCTCGCTGGAAAGCTGTCTGGATGACCTTGGCTGTCTCTTGATTCACTGGAAGGAGGATAGAATGAGGAGCTACAAACCAGGCAATCTTCACCCTGATCCAGCCCAGACTTGACCACAGTTCAGCCTCCCTGGAATGAGGATCCCCACCCAAAAGGAAACAGGCCTCCGGGCAGGAGTCAGGGGTCAGTCTTCAGAGCCCTATCTTTGGATCCTGCTACATCCAGCCCCTGCATCCTGACACTTAGGAACCCTGTGATTCTAGGCAGTCCAGCTCCAGCTACACATGAACCCCAGCTGCACCCAAATCCCTGATTCCTAATATAATTGATGTGGGGCTATTCTGTGTAGATCACACAACTAAACTCCCTATGACATCATCCTATTGAGCAAAAACCTGAGGCCCAGAGCAGGCAGAAGAACTGGCCAAAGTCACATAGCAGTTGGTGATAGATACCTGACTCTGGCCATAGGTTGTTGACCTCCATTGTCAGGAGCATACAATCCCAAGCTTTGCCCCTAACCTGACCCTACCCCAAGGCCCTCCTCTGAACCACAGATTGACTCAGTGTTCCCAGCAAACCATGCAGGCTAGCTGTTTACAATCTAGCAAGAATCTTCTCATTAAAGACCTGACCTTGAACATGTGATCACAGGAGACCCTCCCACCTCTCTGCCATAGCTCCTCCCTCACTGACTGGCTGAGGGGCAGTCCTGCTCCAGCATTGGCTTCCAACCACAGCAGGTATATTTGAAGAGAAGCTGGCTGAATAGAGGTAGGTGGGTACTTACACACCAGGAGGGCAGGCTTGGTGATGCGGCACACGATGCCTGCCACATATGAGGTGCTGGTGGAGCAGGCATGGGCACTGCCCAGCAGGGCCAGGCTCAGGAGTGTGGCAGCCAGCATGGTGCTTCTGCAGCAGTGACCAGTGGCCCAGCTGGGTGGCCCAGGCTCCTATATGTGTATCCACCCAGCCCCCATGGGATGTGAGGTACTTCCCGGCAGCAGGGTCTTTCTGGTCCCAGGGATCCACCTCCTTCCTGCCCAGCCCCTCTGGCCTCCTCTTGGGATCAGAGCTGGATGTGTGACAAGGGTGCCCCACCCTCTGCTTATCCGCCCTCAACCATCTGCACCTTCCTATTATACACTTCCTTGAATTTATTCTCCTGCTCCCCAAACTTTATTCTTAAAAAGTGTGTCTAAACTTTATCTCCCACTTGTAATAAACAGAAAGAGGTCAAAATACAATGGCCATCAAACAAAGGCATCCAGCTCTTGCTGGAGCCTCCTGCCTACAATCACCTAAGCTAAAGGCTCACTGCTGCATGTCAAAGGGACAGGCAGGCCCTCTGGCTGACAGTTGAAAGACCAAGAGCCCCCGATACCCTCACCTCACCATAGTTTTCCAGAGCATTGGTACCATAACACTACCTTGCATCCTCCAGCAATCTGTACAGTCCACTCTTTGAGATACTACAGTTTAGGGAACATTGTGCTTGGTCCTCTGTCCCCTTATTGTCTTGAGGAAGAGGCTAAGGCCCAGAGAGGGCAGGGGAGCTGGCACAAGTCACACAGCACTTGGTGACAGTCTTTTCTAGGTATTCAAGCTCCGGATCCCCTTTCTTGTCCTTTGTGGGGAGTTCTGAAATCCCCCATTACTTGTTCCTTGAGCAGGATATGCTGAGGGGCTCTTCCAGAGCATACCCCTAGGACCCTGGCTGGTCCCTACTCTAGACCTACTTGATGTTGCTGTTCCTAGAATCAAATTTTTCTTAGTGTCTGTATCACCTTGGCTGTGAAGGCTCCCACATCCTTGGATTCCAGACAAAAGAAGGAGAAAGAGGGAGTGCTCTCACACCCAAGCTTGTGCTTCACACTGACCATCCCTGCAATTCCGAAGCAGCCCTGTGAGGCAAAGTAGGAGTCCTGTGCTCTGCAGAACACACATAAGATGCTGCACCAGAGTGCCCAGTGCAAGGGCATAGGGTGCTAGGAGATGCAGGATGGAGTGCTGGTCTTCCCCCTTAAACTCAGCCCCATGTGCCCATGTGTACTGGGACGGTAACAGGAGCTCACCAACTATGAAGGAGGCTCTTGGTGCTGAGACCTGAAACATCGCAGCCTTATCTCTGACTGTGGTCAGTGCCCATCCTGGTTACCCTTTCTCTTTTGTCAGACACAGCATCATTCGCTTTGGAGGAGTTCTGGCGCTGCTAACATTTTTCATATTAATCATATTATTTTAAATATATATAATGGGGGTGTGTGGCTGGAGCTGTAGCTCAGTTGGTAGAGTACTTGCCTAGCATGCATGAGGCCCTAGGTTTGATCTACAGTGCTGCATAAAACCTGATATGGTGGCATACACTTGTAATCCCAGCACTTGGGAGGAGGAAGCAGGAGGATCAGAAGTTCAAAGTCATCTGTGAGCTCCATAGCAAGTTTGAGACCAGTCAGGGCTGCATGAAACCCTATCTCAAATATGTATATATATATATAGTGTACATGTGTGTACATATATATATACATATATAATATCCATGCATGAGTATATGTGTGTACATATATGAGATCTGTGTGGTAAAGAAGATGTAGAGGAAAAGAAGTCACATGTTAGTCCTTCCATTTCAAAACAAGCTTATTTGCAAGCAGGTCAGGGTGCAGTGACTGGGAAAAACGCACCCATCCTCTCCCGGTACCCCCAAGGCTCACACACAGAAGTCCTGCTTCTACTTCTCTGGCCCAGGAAGTGACATGAGTGCTGGTTATGTAATAATACCTGCTTCTCTGGAAGCTCTTGCTAGGAGTCTGCTAGGGAGTCAACATCTGCATCCAGGATCATGGCTGGGATGTGTCCTTATACAATAGTCTCTCAGGCACATATCTTGGCACATAGTAGGTGCACAGTAAATGCTGCTTGAATGGAGTGTGAGGTGGCAGGTATGGTGACTCACTCTTCATATGCCTGTCTTAGTCCATCCTCATGATAACCCCATGAGTAGCTGTCAGCTCTGATTTCCATTATAATTCAGCAGTCAGAGCCCAGAGAGGTTCAGTGACTTCTTGCAGGTAACAGCTGAGAACGTGACAGAAGGCAAAACTCTGCCGTCATCTGTAAAGTGCTACAAGCAGTCACCTACACCTTTCCAAAGAGAAACCATCAGGCCAGAGGATTCCAACACATTGTGGAAAAATCCTCTCATATCCATACCCAGACTTGCCCCAGTGACAGGCAGACTATGCGTACCAGCAGTGTCTACTGGCCAATGGTGCCATACTCCCCAGCATAGGCTCCCATAAGTCCCTGACCCTGGAGAAAGGGTGGGCAGGTACAGGCAGGGGCACTGGACTTGGAGTCAGGGGAAGGGTCTGTGTGACCACTGTGAGTCTCAGTTTCTTCATCTATCTAAAGGGGCAGGATTTCATAGAGTCCAAAAGATGTTTTCTCGTGTTTGAATTTCAAGCCATGTGGCTTTGTTAGCTTCCCCAAATTATAATACATGACATCTGACCCACAGTTGGAGCTAAGAACTGACTTGTGACAACTGGGATCAACTAGCTGATTGCTGCCTCTCACAACCTCTGGGAGGGAGCCAGGGCCAGAGGGTCTTGGACAGGAGGACCCCCCCCAAAGGAAGGGCAAGGAAACGGAGGGCAGGAGTGGACTCATTTGTCAGAGCCCAAGGCTGCCCAGAAGCACAGAGCAGGCTGAGCTTCACAGCTCCCAAGATTCGGAGAGGTAAGCCTACCTCTCCGTTTGAGATTCATGCCCACAGCTATGGCAAGCCCACACCCCCTGGTTGAGAGGGTGAGTGAGAGGAAAGAAGCCTTATCCTAGGCCTTCTGGGCAACCCTCCCAGGTATTCCACCCACACAGGGCCTCCAGTGTTTCAGAACTGTGAGGACTTCCTGGGGCTATTGTCCTGGTTGTTGTTTGTGTCCCATTCTATGACCACAGAGGTCAATGACCTAGGGTGCCCTGATCAGGGTACTGGAGGTCATCTGACTAAGGAGGGATAGGAACCTGACCCTCTAGTGCAGACCAGACCAAGGACCTAGCATCAGAGTGAGAGGTGTAGGATCAGGAGGGTAGTAGATTAAAAACAAGATGAACAAAATCAAGCCAAACCCAGAAAAACCCACCCTTCAAATTTAGGAAATGGTGTCTTAACTTCTTAAAACTGAAAGCCAGGCATGGTAGCATTTACCTAAAATTACCTATAATTTCTCAGCACTTGGAAAGTAGAGGCAGGATGATCAGGAATCCAAGGGCAGCCTCCACTACATAGTGAACTTGAGGCCAGCCTGGGCTACATGAGACCCTGTCTCAAAAAAAAGCCAAATCATGGAGCTGGGTGTTGTGTCACATACCTATAATCCCAGTGCTCGGGAGGCAGAGGCAGGAGGATCTCTGTGAGATGGAGGTCAGCCTGGTCTATATAGAGCATTCTAGGCCAGCTGGGGCTACAAATGAGACCCTGTCTTACACACACACACACACACACACACACAAAAACAAAAAACAAAAAACAAAAAACACACAAACAAACAAACTTAAAAAAGCCCCCAAACACCCCTGCCTCAACTGCATTTGTTTAGGCCCCTGGTAACTCCCATCTGCATTTACACCTGAGCAGACTCGGGATCCAATGCAACCCCTCCCTTGACATCATGGTTACTTTGTATACTCCTTACATAACCTTTGGGGAGGAGCACTGTAAGCCTTATACGTTTGGCGAACTTCTATTTTGTCAGCTTCTTTAGTTTTATAAACCTCCTTCTTCCCTGCAGAAGGAAATGTTTTGATTTGGAAAAAAATTAACTACACAGCACTCCACCCCTTCCTCCATGCTTTCCGTCTCTCTTCAGTGATGTTCCCTGAGCCTTGGAGGCAAGAGGAAGTAGATGTCTGGTTGTTTTTTTCCATTTATGGATGGAGAATTGATCCACTTTACCACAATGATAGTCATCTGTTCTCAGCAATTTGGCCAGTTATGAGTCTGCAATAACCACTGCTCAGTATGAAAAAGAAATTTCCCTCCATGACAGAGGCTGAGAGCAGAGGCTGGGCATCAATACAAATGTTTAGAGGGCAATTTGACAGTCATCCCAGATAGGGTTCTAACCATAAACCAAACTAGCAATTCCATCCAAGTCTAGCTTGGTGAACCCATTAGTTTATTGGGGTGACTTACAGGATCATGGGTGACTCAAGGGCAGCAACATCACTGTGACGTCAATATGGATGACAACTCACAAAAGCTGCATCCTTGGAGCTCTGTCCAACTCATAGGCATCTCCACTGAAGAGTCTTCTTACACCAGGCAATTGTCTGCTCCTTATATAACCCTGGGGAGGTGCTTTGTGAACTTTTAACCTTCTGAACTTCCTGAGCCTGGATAACTTTGTCAGCTTCCTGAGTCTTGGGAATCTCTCTTCCTTGTGGGAAGAAATGTTCAGTTAAGTGGAAATAGGTAAACAACACAGGAGAAGATAAATGCTTCAGAATCCACTCATATGAATGTCCTAGTTAGCTTTCTGTTGCTGTGATAAAACACTGACTAAAACCAGCTTGGGGAGGAAATGGTTTATTTGGCTTATAGTTCACAGTCCATTATCAAGGGAAACTGAGGTGGGAACTCAGGGCAGGAACCTGGAGGCAGTAACTGAACACAGACTACTGAGGAACACTGCTTACTGTCTTGCTCCTCTGGCCTAGGCTCAGCCTGCTTTTTTATATAACCCAGGATCACATGCCCACAGTGGGCTGGGCCCTCCCACATCTTCAACAATAAAAAATGCCTCTTAAACATGTGCACAGGCCAATTTGATAGAGAAAATTCCTCAATTGAGGTTCCCTCTTCCCAGGTTTCTCAAGTTGACAGCTGGAGCTATCCAGAACAATGAGGGTTCA